AGACTTAAGACTTAGTGCACACTCACAGCAAAATTCGTACCAACAATCGTGACAAATATTGGGCATTATATAGTACTAACGAACTGCTTACCCTGGCGTGCAATCATTATACATATAAAACTTCCTCTTGAATCACTCTATCTACTAAAAAAACCGCATCAAGATCCGTTGCGTAGTTTTAAAGATCTAAGCATACATAGGGACAGACAGACAGCGGGACGAATTTGTTTTATACTACGTCGTAACGAAAGTGAAGCAAAAGTCGTTTAAGTTTCAGTTAATCAAAAAGGAAGGTTTATATGTAGTGATAATAATGTACCTGAAACTCGACCTGTTTTTTATTGCTTAGGTTCTCATCTCTTAATCCAAAGCTTTCCTCTATATATATTTTATGAAGTCTAGATAGGCACAATGAAACACCAAAAGTTACAAATCAAATAAAAAATTAAAAAGACCATCATGCTGAAACGTACTTAAAATAAGTTCTTGGGTCTCAATCCAAAACAATCTTCTTTTTACACGAGGTCTAGATACAATTAATACTGGGCGGCACTGGCCGTAAAGTAAAAAAAAGATGAGCCGAGAAAAAAAGAAAACAGCTATTACGCAACGCTGGCTGTCACACGTAACGTTGCATGCAAGATGCGCCATTAACAGGCCGATCCGTCCTGCCCGCTACATCAGCTGATGGCACAAAGAAGCTCCACCTAACATCTGCCGGCCGCCGTGAATCACCGGCCCTTGGCTCGTGCCAGCCCCGAGGCGGGAAAAAAAAAAGCCGACCAAAAGTGTAAACTCGCGCCAACCGTTATAATCGAACCGAACGCGGGTGGATTCACGTGGCGATCGATTCTTATTCAGATCGGATTCTTTTCGCGTAGGGCGGATATGATGCTCTCGCTAATAGTTCGTTTTTTGAATCTGTGTCTTTTTAGTTTATTTGTTTTTTGTTTCATTAACGCGATAAACGGCCTGAGTAAAATGTTAAAATCGAACACGAAAAAAAATTTCTCAACTAAAAGTAAACCGTTTATGCTAGCTTGTTTCCTACACAAATTTGACTTTACATTTTTGTCCTGAAAAGGCATATAGAATAAAATAAAAATCATGCATTTTCATGATCTCTCTTTTGATTTAGGTTAAAATACTTGCCAATTTCAAAAATGAATAAGTTTACGACTCCGATGTAGAAATAACAGTGTTTACTTCGAAATAGCAAAGTGCCTATAAATCTGTAATATGGCATTATTTCGTACATTAATCTAGTAGGCTTAGACATGTAGTAGGCATAAAATCGTCTAAAGTAATTTAAAAAGAATTATATTAGCAGCATAAATAACAAATCCAGATTAATTTCGAAGCCTGGCACATTACTGCGCCATTAATTCGTAGAGGAAAAAATAAAAGTTCGATCGGAGTGAGCGTATGAATAATCAGCGATACAAAAAAGCCATTAAAATATGCGATGAAAGCGGTAGATTTATAAGAAAGTTTCTCAGTAATATTTATTATAGTACTGTTTGTGGGGATAACTTATACCGTTCTTTCCTTTAGTGACGCAATTTTTGGTGTCGACTGTTTTCTTTTTGGCTTACAACTACAAGCTCCATAATGCTATCGCTAGGTGTGGAATTGGATGTTGGCGCATAATATACCGTAGACATTTAAAATTTGATTGAAATGGCTGTTGAAACAACTCTAACATCGTCAAGAGTTAGATAACATGTTTCAGATTATTTTACATTGTGTAGACATTACATGTAGTTAATGTACATCCCGACAAATTTCTGAGTTGTCGAATGATTCAATGTTTAAACATATTGTAAATACATTGAATAAAATTATTTAAAATGAATCCTTCATATACATTTTCTATAATTTATTAGGATTTGGGTAAATAATGAAAGAAATGAAACATTGCACATAACTGCGTTCTAGCATGAGCAAATACCCACGAGAAACGTTCATTTGAAAAGTTTCTTGAATTGAATGAGAAGTACATTTTGAGACTATAATTTATGCTACGCCTTAATTCGTGTACTTCATAAAAGTCATCGATAAACCTCATTTGGAACGCATGTAACTATTTGTAGAACATATTTGGCGTTAAACATACCGACAAATGGAAAAAAGTAGGTTGTTTGGAGAGAAATGCCCGAGAAAAAAATAACTTTACGTGATTCATACACACGTGCAACGTGTTTGTTGTAATACTTCCGTTAACTATAACAACTTATTTTAACGATATATACAATATCTTTTGATCAAATATTATCCAACATTAATACCGATTGTACGTGTAATTTACGCGTAACCTAATATTTCTAACGATAACAAATATCTACCTGAAATATTCACTGGCTGTGGAAAAATGTGATTCATATGCACATAAAGAAATATATAGTAGAACATATGCACATAGAATCGGCAGTCACTAATCAACGGCTGCAATTCCTTCGAACCGAAATAATGTTACAAGTATTTTATTGATCGAGATTTGTTTAGATAAAACTGAAACCATCGACGGTTGAAGTAACACCACAATGCGCCCGAGCGAGCCAGCTGCCTTACGATAAGGCATCAATCGGATTTCGTGAAAAAACCCACCTTTTGAGCCAACAATAGATACAATCGCCCACGATAAAAGACCTAGAGGTGCTATGGTAGCGACTTGATTGGAGCGAGGCGCTGGCGCAGCTGGTACAAAATGTGCGCGGCGCGTGCGCGCGGAGATAATATGGCCGACATATGAACCGTACGGTATAAATAATGCCTCCTGAGCAAAGCTGAACTTTTTCACGCCGTCGACTGTAGAAAAAAAAACTTTAAGTGCGACGGAAATCTGCCCGTTGGGGTTGTCGGTTTTTTTTTTTTTATATTTTAGGATACATTTTTACACAACATTTTCTAGGCCCAAACTAAGCAACACTTATACTATGGGTACTATAAAACTGATAAAAATACTTTTCTTTTGTAAATAAATCCATATTATACATATATAAACACCCAGACCCTAGAAAAACACTATATTCATCACACAATATTTTTCCAGTAGTGGGGATCGTTCCCACACCCTCTGGCGCAGGAGGCAGGTACACTACCCACTACGCCATTCGGACCGTCATTTTGTCGCCGAAGTCTTTAATATGTACCAGTTTGCTATATATGAAGTTTTTATTCGTAATTATGACGCTATCATTACTTGATCATCATCGATTTTACAAGGAAAATATGGAAGGTTCGGATCGGAGTCGGACTTTCGTTCGGGATTTAATTGAAGCAAATAAATCAGGTCTGCTAACAGATTGTCAGGGATTGCTAAGTAGGTTTTAAATAAAGGTGATTTTAGAATAAGGGATGGTGTCTCCCCATCCCCCGGCGCTAAGCTTTACGGTGGTTGTTTTAAAACTAATTTGCTAAGTTACTTTGCAGTCCTTAACTTATAATCGTAAATTAGATCGAGTACCTTCTCCGCGAAACTTTTTCCGCACGAGTTCAGAGTTTTTGCGAGTTTCAGAGTAATTATGCTTTATCGGGTTTTTATTATTTTTAAACTTACCCTTAATTGTTTTTACGGAACGTAAAAAAATGAACATTTTTTACTCAAATCGGGTTTGTATTAGATTTCATTAAGTACAAGACGAGGTTAACATCAAAAGGAGTATTTCGCTACACTATCCAATATAATACTCAAAATGTAAATACAACAATTAAGGCATTTTATGATTAAACACTTTGTGGAATATTTTAACTATTTATATATTTTTTGCAAAAAAAATTTTGGATTTTCTGTGATATTGCCTTGAAGTTTGCCTTTCCTTTGAGCTTGATATTTGTAGAAGTCTAAAGTAATTGAAGCCCTTCTGTACGTATTGACTTCTTGATTTTACGCGAATATTATACATATTAAATGAAACTATTATTGCGTTTTAATTAAGATTTTGAAATTCCCGACGATTACCGAACCCTTTCCAGCCTTCATGGTCACGGGAAAAACTTCTGTATGTCTCTACATGTGAATTTCGAAGGAATCAATGTCAAAAAATTCCCCGTCATATTATTCGTTTACATGTATTTCTAGATTATTCACCTATTATAGCTCGTGATAGAATGCCGTTGTATTTCCAGAACTCTTTCGATACGTGCCAGTCGATTTCGTTATAACTTGAGTTGCGAAGAAAATCGCAATTTCACAAATTTGTCTGATTATCGACAAAAAATATGCTCTCATCCCCCGTACATGATTCGATCTCGACATGTTGCCAGAGCACATTTTCTCGGGTCATTATTCCGATCACAATTTTCACTGAAAAATATACAAGGTTATAAAAAAGCCGTATCATCGTTTCCTTCGCGGGCTATAAAATCCGCTGTAATGTTTTTATTACAATTCTATGGTAATGACTCGTTTTTGTTTTAGATTTCGATTTCAGTACGTCTCCGCGCCGCTCAATGCGATTAAGACATTAATGAAACGAATATTTTTGCTCAGGAACTCCCTAAAAAGTAATGGGCAATGTAATGTTTTCGTAGGCTTGGTGTAGTTAATTTTCGAGGTAACTATAGTTACATTGCTGCTTTCAAGACATTTTGGGCTCGGTAAATGAGTACTCAATTTTTAAATTGGTTATGATATTAACATGAGTACGGCAAATTTGAAATAAACAGATAGTTACATTGGACGATTTGAAGGTTAAAACACTAATTACCGTCGCATTCTGAGACGCATTAAAAAGTTATTTTGTAAAGTTCGACAATGTCAATAAAACTCAACGTGACATCAAATATTTTAATAACTGCTAAAGCTAATAACGAACTAAGAACGCTTAAGAGCTTACTGAATTATCTTATAAAGAAAACATGTGTTTCTTTTCACTTTTTAGTGATTTTCATAGCATTTAGAATAAGATATTTCGATGTGAACGATAGTGATTACTCGCCGTTTTGAGCAACCGCAGAAACACTTTGACTTTCTTACTCAGCGAGACGTAAACGTATTACTTCCGCGGCCATTTTACAATTCCGCGGAACACCATGTCGGCACGGCAGGACAAGATGGCGGTAATCTATGCAGACGAATAAATTAATGCTAATGATGGCTCGTAAATAAGTCATACAATGTGTTTGAGTCACCCCAGATCGATGGAAGGACTTTATATTTTTTAAAAATTAATTTAATATTGTATATAATGTCCAAAATGAATAAGATGCCTAAAAAATCTGTCTTAACGAGTAGATATAGATATATATTTTTACGTCATCTACTTTGACTGTCATTAAACATTTTATATATTAAAATTAATGTTTATTTATAAATTATAATACTTATTTTCAAATTTAATCATAAATTGCAATACATATTTCTCACTCTTTATGTTCATAACTTTTCAATTGTCTATTCCTATAAATGAAGTCAATAGAACGATAAGTTTTCATAAGCTTTTATTAAGCGATAGCCAATACTATCTGAATGTAGAAACAACGATGACAGAACGCTTAACTAAACTACTTATGCCTAATAAAGGAAAGGTCATAATCATTAAGGCTGTTAATAACTTAAAAATACGTTCATCCTAACTCCAGAACCAAAGAACAACACTAATACTGTAATACTTAACTTCGGTGTACTTGTTTCTTTATCAAAACAAAACGGCTGAACAGATTTGTATGAAATTTAAAACTGTTATAGATGATGCCTTGGATTAACAACATATTTTATAATAAATATCTTATCCTTTAAAAGAGCATTATTGTATATATATATATATATATATATATACACAATAATTGCTATATATATATATATATATATATGCGAAATATCGATCTAAGTAGGTTTTATTTTTAAAAAATGTCCTTTTATCCCTGTTTTCAGGGAATGAAAAATATCATTCGAATATGACGGTAAATTTGTCCACAAATAAAAATGTTATAATAGCTCGGTCGGTAATCGGGCGGCCTCAAAACAGACAGCCGCGGTTCGTATCACGATCATTTACACACTTATTTTTTTCCTATATCAGATCATTGTCTTCATTTTTTATTTTTTTATTTCCAAAATACATGATTTACCAAAAAAAAACCGAGCAAAGCTCGGTCCTCCAGAAACTTATATCTTATGAGAGTTAACTACATAATGACGAAAACAATCAAAGGATAACTTCTTTGATTGTGAATAAAGCTAGACGAGAAGGTTGCAAATAGTGATAATGACAGAATATGATGAAAGGATAGAGACAGAAATGGTAGGCAAGCTCTTGGTGCCGTAAAATTTTTAAGAGAGTGAACGTAGTAAACAAACAGAGTGAGATGCTACTTGATGCTCCTTCATCGAGTGGGATCCACTGGATCACCAAACACAGCTTAACAGTTTAAATTCGGTGGGGATCAACCAAGAAAAGTGTTAGAAGTTTTATGTAAAAACGTATTACAAAATAATAGAATAGAAGCATACGAAAATTAAAAGTAAAGACAGGGTTACACCAGTGGAATACATGGCAAAGAAAAATAATTAAGAAGTTGACTAGCACACGTGTAACTTAGGGAGGTGTTTTGGGAGGAGGGGCGTCTGTTGCCGCACGCCCATGTATCTTGTGCCAGTCCGTAAACTCATGGACTCACCTTTTTCTTGGTGAGCTTCTGACTAGTGCACGTTTAGTTTAGGCAGGGAGAAAGAGTCCGTTTCCACCCGCCCATGTACCTTGTGGCAGTCTGTAAACTCATGGACTCACCTTTTTCTCGGTGAGCTTTTCGCACCGCCGCTGTTTGCAGATCTGGTGGGACTTGTCGTTGCGGCAGGGCGCGCAGTCTCCGCAGTTGTCCTTTCGCTGGCAACCGATGCACTCCCCGCATCGCTTCCGCTTCTTCTTAGTCTGCGACGGGAAGCACTACATTGAAGCGATAACTCTACCTGTCTCACGGGAGAGCTACCTCGACTCCGCCTCGTTACACTCATATTATTAGTGTCGCGTTTAATTTGTACTCCGTTTAGGTTATCCTTCGTTCAATTAGTACCCTGATTGAGTAATAGCACGGTCAGTCTGGAATAGACAAAGGAACGAATTTAAAGTAACTATTTAGCGACATTCGCAGTTTTAGTGCCTCAAATGTTTGTAAAAGCGTGGTTGAAATGTACGATATTTGTAAGTCTACGCAAATCTCGAATATTGAATAGGTAGCTTTATCATATGCGCCGAAGCTATTCTTTGAACATCTGATTTTGTCGGTTCACATTGTTATTTCTTATACGAACAATATAATTTGACACATTTTTACATATAGTGTAACATACGTTTCGTTGGGAATTTAAAGTATTTTTGTAAAGCTGTTGGGCACAGTCAATGTAAGATCACTCTTAATTAACAACTCTTTTGCACCTATTGTGAAACTACGCACGTACGACGAAAACATCACGTAAAATTATATAATACATACAGATGTTTTAAATAATAAACAAAAAATAATTTCAAAGATCTAATATTTACAAGATTAACGGCCGGTTTCTGAAACACTGATCATCGGAGATCAGCTGTCAAATTTCATTTTAGTTGCCAGAAGGATGGTTAAACTCTTTGGATTGATCGTTCTGATCATTAGAAGATCATTCTGGTCAATTCAGAGAGTTTAACCGTCCTTTTGGCAACTAAAATGAAATTTGAAAAGCCATTTGACGGCTGATTAGTTGACATCTACGATGATCAGTGTTGCAGAAACCGGGCGTAAATCAATCTAAAATAACATATTATCTAATAAACCTAATCCACGCGGCATGGTGCCAAGAACGCTAGCTGCATTTCCTCGCTGAATAGTTATGCTTAACCTTTGAGCGAGAAAAGAACCAGCTCTCTTGTCACCAGCCGCGGCGTTGAACGGCTAATACATAAACTTTTAAAAAAATTAAAAGTCATAACAAGTCTTCTAGCGGCCCGATGAGGTCGCGTGGTGGACACGAGGTGGACTATGGTCTAATACCGCCGGTACGCAGGAGACCTCTGCTCAGCAGTGGGACGTATAAAGGCTGCTACTAATTAATTTTGTTTACTTAAAAATCTAGACTTCTATATCCACTGGGTTACCACTAACCATCAAGTGAGTTGGTAGTTAGATATTACTCAGTTCAACAATAGAAGAAATTACTCTTTCTTAAACTTTACTGGCTCACTAAATAGTTGAACTTAATATTACAGATATAAAAGATACAACCAAACATTAAGTCCGCTAGAACGGCTAAAAATGCGTCTGTGATTGTTCCCGCCGAACTGAATCGTACGCGCATAGCGCGCTGGCACTTTAATACCCCAAGACAATAACTTAGCGTATCTCAGTCGGATCTCAGCGTGCCCGTCCGGGGACTCGGTGCTATTAAACGGGTGGAATTTATTGCGATGCGGCCGAAATTCGGCGCTTTCTGCGAACCTCTTTAATGAGTCGTCTGGGTCACAAACGCGCGCGGACATCCGCGCCCGATTTCGAGCGTTAATTTTTCGACCTTACAACGCTGGGATGGATATTTGTTGGTCTATGACTTGAGTATGTATGTCCGTTTAAAGTGAAACTTGAAACTACAATGGAGTTTTATCGTGAAAACAGTTTGTTTAATTTTCACATGGAAAAAATGGAATTAGCTATTAAGAAAATCGTGTATAATGTACCTACATACAAATGTATTAATAAGAGGTAAAACATAAGAGGTTTTTACTAGCTGCTGCCCGCGACTACGTCTGCGTAGAATAGGCTGAAGGTGTTACATTCAGACAGAAAGACAGATATACCTACATACAATATGTATATAAGTTATAGCCTATGTCTTATTCTGATGTTTAAGCTATATTATTGTAAAGTTTCATTAAATCCATTCAGTAGAATTTGTGTGAAAGAGTAATCAAACATCTATTCATACATACAAACTTTTGCGCTTGTAATATTAGTAAGGATATGTTCATACCAATGTATTAGTACTCTTATGTTGTTTATAATGCAATAATAATATTGTTTGATAAAAGAGAAACTTGAATATATTGCGCGCCTCCATAATTTTTCGACTAAAGCTTTTAAGTTACGGTCTCTATTTTGTTACGCATTCAATGCATTGAATTAATCCCCGACCGTAAAAAATACAACAGCTGTGATACGGTGAATATAAGGCCGCCATTTTCTGGCGCAATTTCATTCGTGCACGCCTCGGCTATCTCCGGTTGTAATCGGGATCGGCCGATTGTGGGCAAACAGCTGACGCAGTTAAAAATTAACACTTTTTTTTTCTAACTTTTATAGTGTATGTTGACAGTGTTACTGGTTTAATCAAATCTCAGTGACTGAATCAACTAGAGTGGTTGCAACGTACCCTTTTTTATGAGTATTATCTTTTCTTCTTAACCATCATTTCTTGGATTGCTTATTATTTTGTATTTATAATATAACAATAACTATTTTATAGTTATATATAATATGGTATGGCTTTATCCCTTTTTATTTTTGTTTTAAGTTCCGATGTTTCGAACATGTCACAGTGTCCATGGTTACGGGATAAATTGAGGTATTTTACTGTCTTATGGCTTGTACTATGACAGTCCCAATGTCCTGGACATAAGGATGAAAAGCGCCTCATATAACCCGGACTAACTTTTTTATTTTGTGTTTTTCTACTTGAAACGAGCTTAGAGCATTATGAAGTTTTGCCGTATTGGCGTTAATGTTTTGTTGAGGTTTGGTGAGGCCCGTGGTATTAAAAGGCGGGAACGCATCTGCAATGGGTGTTACAAATATCCATAGGCGGCGGTTATCACTTACCATCAGGTGAGCCGTCAGCCCGCTTGTCTCCTCACACAAAAAATCTGCCGTGGGAGATTTGTATATACGTACTCTGTTACTTTATTATTCTTAACTTTCCCTAACTAAACGTGTTATGATTGACATTGGTCAAATCGTCGGGAAATTACAAAGTTAAAATGAACCCGATGTAATCCTTTCAAATGGTTTACTCTATTAGTAGTTACGAGTAAGTTAACAGGCCTCATTACTGAAAAGTATTTATTCAATCCATTTTCAGCTTAAACTAATGTTCTGCCGCTAACTAAAAGTAGCATAGGACTTGTCCCCTAACTTTGAGAACGTTACAGGGAAGTTATTTTTTTCTCCACTTCTATACACTCGCGTAATAAATCACCAAAAATTTCGTCGCCTCTTCCGCTTTCGGTGTTTCGTTCTTTGTTCTATGGAACTTTCGCAATGGATTTCCCCGCTTTGACTCATTCGTATAATGAGTTGGTAACTTGCGAAGTGTGTCGCGCGCTGGGCGAATGTGGAGTCTATTCCGAAACTGTACGGTCCGGAATATCGTGTGTACGCCGAAACGGATAAAACGAAAGAAAACGCCATTTCATGGACTTTATGTAGCTATCTATTCGTAGGTACTGTGGGCTTTAATGATTGTTTTCTGATGTGGTAACATCATAAGACAATTAGTGTGAAGACGCTATTTCTGTTAAACCAAATATTCCTTTGGGTTACGCGGTTGTAAGTCTTACTGTGTAGTACATTGATTATGCTGTATGATTACTGTTTCATTCAAAAATAGTCATGGGCAGTTTGTGAAGGCCTATGTCCAGTTTTGGAATAAAGTAGGGTGAAATGATGATGATGAAATTAACCAATTTAAATTAACCGAAAGTCATTTAAAAATTAACCGATGTATTTTAAAATTACAAGCATGAACCAACAATAACGTATACTTCATACGATTTAGCATAGATCTTTCTGGTATTGAAAAAATGTAAAGTTATGAATTGAATCAATAATAACCCTAAAAATTTTAAAACAAATAACAAAATTACTACATTGGTGACTTTTCTGCCAAATTTTGTTACATGTAGTACTTTGCACTCGTATAAGAATAAAGTAAGAGAGGAAATTGCTTAAAAAGTTCAATTAAACATCTTTCGTGTTACCTATTACATTTCTTACAGACTAATTAATGTGGAATTTAAATATATTACGTAATCAAGCTAAGCAAATGTAATAATTTCCCCCCTTAACGAGCATATTTAAACGCCCTTGAATTTAATCCCCTCGCTGTTTCGCATGACTTTAGAATTTTTGATTTGACATTGAAGATTTCCCCGTCTTATGTCACATATACGTATGGAAATGTTTTAAAAGTGATTACTATTTTACCAGACTATATTACCAGTTATATAAAATAACGGGAATAAGAATAAATGATACATATTTCTCTTTGCTATACACATGTTTAATTGAATGACAAAAAATTCTAAATGCATTTATGCTATTTTCGTTTTGTGTATTTTAAATTGGTATACCGAATTGTAGGAACCTGTGCAGTACAAACTATCCACTGTCGGTTGCCTATAAAAACCACAATTAGTAATGTCTCCTTCCAAATTCAAATTAGATCGTAACAGTTTGTTTTATGTCGAAATGCAATGTTGCGATAACATTTCGCGTGCGGTTAACGAGCAACGCGATAGAAATCTTTATAATATTATCCACGTCCAGTTTATAAGGTAGAACAATCGGGAATGTTGAAACGGTGCAGTGGACATGGCCCTTATTTTGCACGCTGCACATCAGGAATTCGCAGTGTTTTTTGAGTGCGAAATTGCAATGTCGCTGCGAACCACTGCACGCTAGTCAGTTACGGGTCGAACTCTAATTTAAACCATAGCGGTCGCGATGTGGTGATAATTTCAATTCAAAACGCATTTATTTACTAAGAAGTAAAGCAATAGTGATGACACAATTGTATTACATTGATTATATTGCATAAAAATTAAATAAGTAAAGTAACAGTAACAGTAATAGGTCCAATTGCTGGGCAAAGGCCTCCTCTAAAAAGATTGTATTAGGCTACAGTCCACCACGCGACCGCACTGCGGATTGCCCGACTTCCCATATCATCGAAATATATATACTCATGATGTTTTCCTTACTAATTAAAATCGCAATAGTCCTTGTTTCCTCAGTTTGCCAGGGTTTGAATAAAAACGCGCTACAAGACAGTGATTTTGGAGTCATAAGTAGGCAAGAACCTGAAGAGTTAGTAGATTTTAACAGTCCTGATGTTTTTGTTATTTACAAAGCAGCTATATAAAATGGGCGCTAGAGGAAATTGCAGTGAATGATCTCGTTATAGAAATTGCACAAAACGTCACTCAGTGAAATAACATTAGGACGTATGTTACTCGTACCAACTAAGTAATGGTGCTTTCATTTAATAATCGTACGCGTCTGGCAGTGGATTCTAACATCTAAATTGATAGAAAAACCGTTCCGTAAACATAATTAGCCGCAGCCGCAGCTGCTGAGCAAAGGTGTTCGTTGTTAGAATGGGAAACGCTGACATTTATTACGTAAAGAATGCTCGATCTTGCCGGATCGTTAGATTTTTTCCCGTCATCGATTCGAATTGCAAATAGCCGAGAATTATCGGTTGCCTGCACTGGAAGCTCTCATATGAGAAACTATATCCATAAATCAGTTATATTAACGAGACATCGATGTTGACGATTGGCGGGAAACGTCCGATTACCGCGCGATAAAACGCTAACGTGGGTGACGTTACGTCAGTTGCAAACGTTAAAAAATCGCCGCCTAATTGCGCCCGACGTGGAACTCGAAAGGAGCTCATAAAACTCTCTAAGCAGGACACGCGTAAATCGTCCGACTTTAATTTGTATTTTAGGCGGGGGAGGAAGTTAATTTATTGGCGCGGCGGGCGAATCGGCCAACTATTAAATTTATTGCCGCGAAGACAGAGAGTTTGGCCATTTCGCAGCTCGGGGGCCCGAATAAAAACCGCTCGCCGAATAATAAAAGGTGGAATTGCTGGGGAGCTCTCGCTCTTTCGGAGACTCAAGAGCATCCAGTTTCGGCGTGCGCTGAACGTAACTCGCGAATTCTCATACCAACCATCGAACGTTCACTACTCCACGCAGTCCCCGGCGACTTGTTTACTACGCTCAAGCGATTCGCGCCGTAAAAGTTTACACGACGCGGTTTATTGTTCGCCCGTTGTGCTGTCGTAATTCGTCTCGATGCAAACGTTTTTTTTTTTGTTTTTATCGCGTCATATTAAACTTTGTGAGTGCTTAGGCGGAGTCGAGTTTGGAAGTAGAAGTCGAGAAACGATTGAGGAGGACTTAATAACTTCCGCACAAATGTAGGTTAGTTATTACAAGTTTTAAGTATTCATTGATGTGTGCATTTAACATTCCTCAACATGTCTCAACTTTTAAAAGTATGCGGAGGAACTCACCTGTTTCTCGCTGGATATGTCGTCCAACTCCATGGGTCCGGTCGTCATGGGCGGGGCTCCGTGCATCGGAGACTTGAAGCCCGCCGTAGAGGAAATGGCCGCGACCTGACCACTACTCTCCGAGCCCACCTCCATATTGGACCCGTCAGACTCTGAGCTGTTCGCGCGCATTTTCCGTCGCTCCTTCTTCCGGAAGTCCGACCTCGTCGGCGAGGACGCGCTCCCGAAACCGTTCGACTTCTTATCGTACCCGTTGTCCAGCAGCATTGGGTTCTGGAAGTTGGTGTGGTGGAGGCCGTTCGGCGTGTACTTGTCCTGCAGCGATTTCATGTCGAACGGCTCGTTCTTCAGCACGTGGACCACTGTCGGGCTCTGGATGTTCTGTATCAGGCTCCCGTTCTGATGGAGCAGCGTCCCGTTCTGGTGGAGGATGCCATTTTGGGTTGGGAATGCGTTGATCGTTGCAATGTTTGGCTGATACAGCTGGATGTGTCGGTCGTCTATATACGCCTGACCCGCCGGGGCGAGTTCTCTGGCCTGCAGCGGCGCTGGTACGATTGGGTAGCTTCTGGCGTTCACCGCTGTCAGCGTGTGGAATGTTGTCGCGTTGACTGGCGACAGTGTGGTGAGGGTGGTCGAGAGCGGGGTGACCTGAGCGAGCGTTGTCAGGTGCGGTGACGACGCCGTAGTGAGTTGCGTGAGCTGTGTTAACTGACTAGGACTCGCGCTCGGCGTGGGGCTGGCGGTCACCGGCACTGGGGTCACGCTCGGCAGCCCCGTCTCCGGTATGACGGTCGTCTCGGGGAAAGTCTGGAACTGGCTCTGAAAGGACGGCAGCTTGTTCGGTATCGGCTGCAGCGTGACCGACTGGTACGTGTCGAGTGGTGAAGAGAAGCCCGCGCGTAGGATCGCGTCCTTCGAGTTGACCGTGATGGGCATTGACTCCCACGGCCGATACTGCGGCTGGCTGGCGATGACCGAGACCGAATCGCCTGTCCGCTCGTAGTACTCCCACCCTGGGTCCAGGAGCCGCCCGTCCGCCGTCAGGATCCTCTGCTCGTTTTCGGCCATGTCGCCGAAAGTGGAGAATGGCGGCAAATGCGGCAAATCCGCGCCCGCCCCGCTTCTAAGCGCCTCGCTCATGACGCGTCCGCTCTCCGCGACCGCATCTCGTCACACTCGGCCCCCGTGTACGCGGCGTATACAAAAATAAGCTCTGTACTAAAGTCCTAATGTCTACGTTGTACTGAACACACGGAACCGCGCTGGAACTTTTCAATTTGTACTCTTTATACCTGGCCCAGTTGAGTTCGTCCTAATACTAAATAGCACTTATGTTACGATTATACGGCACACCGGTTTACACTACACCCATCACAATGTCTTCCTTTCTTCGCAATGGAAATAGACTGTGTACAAAATCCTTAATAACAGGCAGTTTAACTTATACGTCTTAAAGTTACGGGCTTATAAAATCTTTGGCTGATTTGTTTAATTTTCCTTAATATCAGAAAATGCTTGAGGAATCGGTTCGTTTTTTTGTTTAACTATCGATAAAATACTTTGTGCACTCGTTTAACGATTTCTCTATTATTTTGGAACGTTTAAATACTGGTCGTTGATAGATTCTCTTCTAAATTTTTCGATCGAAGGCTTCTTTTTTATTGTAAATACCGATTACTTCAGACTTAAATTAATTTGTACTGTTTGGGAGTTAGCGTATACTATGTGAGTTTTATTAGTATTTCTTTTTTGTTTTGTAACTTTAAAAGGTATTAAAAAATAGTGCTTATTATATTATTATTTTTCGAAACAAAAGATATGACTGGAGGCTTTGGTTTGAGGAATTTGTGTTTTGGTTGGTTCGTTTGTTGTTTCTTCTCTGCTGTGTTGTGACTCGACCAATGCTATCCGTGTGGCCGGCACGATCCTGGGGACAAAATATAATTTATATTAATATACATTCTATATGAATACTTCTATATATAATGTAGATTATAAAATAATTTAATTCTGTGCGTTTCGTACACAAAATAAATAGTATCACATTCTTGAAATCTGCCCTTCAATATAGTGTAACGTGTGATTGTTGTTTTTCTGAAGACTAGGCTGCATGTCATTTGAGAATGCCGCCAGTTCGAAATGACATTTGATAAATTAGTTTTTGTGGATCCATTATCTTCGACTGTGCATGGCTAGAGGTTGATATCAGAACACGTTCCTGGTCGTATTATTTGTGATTGCTGTCTGGGAAACCCTTTGCTGGATTTGTTATCCCTCGTGGTGGATGCTGAAGGCATAGGTGGCTGGCAAGCTGGTCTGAGCTGCTGCTCGTTTAAGTAGTGTTTTTTACCTCCAGTTGGAGGTCTCCTACATACCCCCCAACAGTGTGTCTGTACACACTGCACTTGACCTGATTTTCTCTACTGGTTCTGAGCCGAACGCTGACCTGTGTGCACAGGGCAGGTGTCTGCGGTGACATAGATTTAAAATTGCCTTCCTGATTGACTGACTTTGTACTTGAATGGAATTGAATAACTTTTACAATCTCAAATTAATTTAATTACCTAACCTTTTTATGGTCGCACAAAGTAATGTGTAGGTCCTATGTACTCACGACTCCCTGAGAAACTTAATTGTAATTATTACAACAGTCTCTTCCTAACAGACAAGGCGCCCAACTTATTATGATGATTCTATATTTTGTACACTATTGTATCTGAGCTAGTCCAGGGATTGTAACTATAAACTAAAGGGATAAATACAACATCTTAACTGTTTCTAAATCTTTTATCAAATCTACCCTTAATTAACCATCCTCATAAATTAAAAACGTTACAATAGTAATGACGGTAATATGTTCTCTGTGGCAAAATTCACAACATTATTCATAACAAAATGACACCGCGATACGGAATGTGTGGGAAATTTTGAAAATTATAGCCTATATGTGCATAGCTCGACTATATTTACTGCGTGGCGGGGCGCAAGCGCGTCGCTCTCTGTCACTTGGATCGCGCGCCAATCGATGGCGGGAAACGCGCTGCGACCATAGACTATTAAGCCCGCGAAACTAAGCCGGGCCTAGTAAGAGATCAAACTTTACCATTGTTTTAAAGCAAAACGTCATACGAAAAGAGTTCCGTGTTTTGATTACGCACATAAAATTAAAATAAGTCGGATTCTAAAAGAAATATTTCAATAATTTTCTAAACATTGGCCTTGTCGATAAAGGCTGCTGATGAACTGATTTTAAAGTAGTCTTGTACTGTTGACATTTCATAGTCCGTGACCTTATAATGGTAACCCACCGGTCCTGCGATAAATATGTACGAGTATATAAGGTTTTGAATCGTTCCGTAGTTCATATATGCAGGTCATACCAGGAATATATAAAAAATAGATGATATTTAATAGAAATTAATTTTTAAACTATTGAGTGTTTTGAAACCTTAGTCCGTTGGGTTTATTAAAAGCTCATTTTTTACAGTGGTAGGGCCACGCAGCAGCCTCGGCTCTTGCACGAATGGGCAGGCTCGTCCGGGTAAGTACCACGACCTCACGAAGACCGGCGTAAAGTAGAAGTATAATACTTTCGCGTTTCGTCTGGTGAGTGAGGTGGCCGGAGCCCAATTTTCAAAAGGTTGTCAACGCATCTAGAACCCTCGGGTATTGCAGATATCCATAGGCGCCGGTATTCACTTAACATCAGGTGAACCGTCTGCTCGCTTGATAACTTATCACATAAAAAAACAGCGCAAGCGGATGCAAAACCACAACTCTGTGTAGAATAACAAAGGTTTCCTCTTTTAGACATATATTGATATATAAAACGTCAGGCTGCAGTACATCAAATATAAATAAGACTCAATTGTAATTTTTATACTGAGCTAGGTTAGTTAGGACAGTTTGGGCCGCGGTAATGGCCTCGGAAACGGTTCGGGTGCCGTCACGTGGTGCCGTATATAAGCTTGTAAACAAACTATTAATAGAAAGGATACATTCATAGAAACGCCACGCTCTATTTCGGAGTCTCTATTTTGAGGGAAACTATTTTCGTGATGTTTCGATGTAAAATCGTACTTTTTCGCGCAACATTTCAAATATTACTTATAGTTGTTTATTTATACTTGAAAAAAATAAATATTTTGCTGCCAAATATTTGTCATCAAGACGAGGACTGTACTAAAACCTTTTGTGTAATTCAATAGTTCACGCATATTATGGTAATTGTACGTAGTTTTATTTTATTATATATGTATATATAAACCATAACCACTATAACCATTTTATTTAATATTAAACCAATCAAAGTTTATTTTTGACTCTTTTGTTAATTCTCTGTACGTCTTTTCTGTTCTTATTTACAAATGCGATTACAGTCTTTTTAAGTCGTAATAATATTACTTATTAATCAAGTACAAAACACATTTTAATTATTCTAAATTTAAATAAATTTTGTTTGATGAAAAATAGAGGAGTTACAGTCACTAAACTCTAATGCTTGCTTACTACTATCTTGTTGTGCCTCAACTTTCATATTGTACTTTAAATTTTTACTCAATAAAGTTGTTATTAAAGGTTTTAATGCTGTTATAAATTATAAACGTATTCATGAAGATCAACTTAAACCTCTTTATTTTGGTATAAAGGTAGTACGATTTTGACGTGGTTTGGTTTTAAGTTAGGTTGTAATCATAAACAAAATTAAATGTGCATTGATGTTTAAAAATGGAAGAAAATGTTTTTCATAAAGCTACTTTAACGGATCCATTGCGAATTAATTTAATTAAGCACGTTGAAATTCATAAAGAAGCTTCATTCAGACTTGATTGAGAGTTGGCGATTGGGTTTGAAATCTCGCGCGGACATTTTAAACATTTCGATTATTGCGTCACCGCCAACGCTTCACAAAAGCGCGATCAAAACGTCCCGAATAGTAATCACGGGCCGAAACTCTTTGTAGATGAGCACAAAGAACGTTCTTCGAAAAAAAAAATTTAAAAGCTCACTCGACACGCCGGTGCCCAGGCCTACGTTTCAATTTTAAGGATCTCTTATTACACAGACTAAAAACATAAAAATTACAGCTATTTAACTCCAGAATTCATATTTCAAACGAGGAATTAAGTAATACGTTGGCAGCAATTGCTTTAAAATCATCAAACGAGCTAAGCTTTCTGTTAAATCGAATTTTTAACGAGCTCTGGACGAAATTCGACTGCGTAAATTCTGCCCAGCCTACACGGAACGGAACGCAGCTCGGTTTTATATGTGTGCGCCCGTCGTTATTGGGCATAGCGAGCTGTGTGTTCAAGGATTCGTTTGCATGTTTGCACGCGTTGGGCCTGTGTGCGAGCGGCGATAGTATCTGGGTCTCAGTTGTCAAGGGCAACCGTACAACCGCTGCAGCGAAAGCGCTGCGCTTGAAGCGGCTCGCTGCAATTGTAGGACTTATTTTTAGAGTCGGATGTTGTCGCTTTTTTGTGCGACGCGTAGCTGCGCTGCGTTGGAGCGAATGTTTAGTTGACGCACGGAAATCCTTGAAACACGTTAAAGCTGAACTTGAATACTGCGCCGCGATGCATTTTCGTCGGCCGTACATGCGATTTGTGTTTTGTTTAAAATACGCATAGGATGAGAAGCATTAATAGAGTTAATGTAAAACAATAAAACGTTTATTATTATTGCTCTACAGAATAGGACATAATACTACATTATTTGACAGTAACTTTATTAAATTTTGCTTTGATCGATACGTTATGAACGTAAACGAAATATTGGAGACTAGCTGCTGCCCGCGACTACGTCTGCGTAGAATAGGCTGAAGGTGTAACATTCAGACAGAAAGACAGATATACATAAATATATATAAGCATATGAATTATAGCCTTTGTTTTATTCTGATATATAAGCTATATTATTGTAAAGTTTCATTGAAATCCATTTAGTAGTATTTGCGTGAAAGAGTAAAGAACATCCATCCATACATACAAGTATTCGCCTTTATAATATTAGTAAGGATATACCTTTAAAAATGATTTTAAAGATATAAGGCCAATATTGTAAACTGCATACTGATTCAGAATAATAACACTAAAAAGTACAAAATCATTCGTTATACCAGGGAGGAAGTAAGAGTGGCCCATCACGTTTCCTGGAATTTGATATAGGTCCTTTTTTACGTGGCAACGAACGAGTTCAAGCGACTCGTTACTATTTGATCGAGTTTTTTTTTTCTTGACACCACCAGCTGTGCTGTACAAAGTAACACATCCGGCGCCGCCTGCACATAATACCTGCACCGGAAACTGATATCTCTGTCATAGTGATCATTCGCTGATAATCGCAGATAAGTATACGTGCGTATTTATTTAATCGTGTCTTTGATGTCGTGACATACAACTTTGTAAATAATATGCTAACTCTTTATTACGAATTCGTTTTAAGGAAGATGTAGACGCATCACGCTATATATATTCAAGTTTAGTTCAGAGCTTTCAAGATTGAAGCAATGCTGTATATCTTAAATTAAGCGACCACAAATTTTAAAAACCCTCCCCTATTATTTTAGTTAGTTCATTTAGTTTACTTAAATGATGTTTTATTCTAATAAAATGAATTATATTGTATGATGAACATAGGCAAAATTTTCAAATAAAGTACGTTCTGGAATAGCAAAGGAAATCAAACTAAACTAAACACACTTTCGTCAATTCAAGTGTTCCCTAAGTTAGACGTATATTGACAGGTTTTAAAAATTTTTTGATTTGTAAATTATAAATAAATATATAATTTGTATTATATATTTATTTATAATTTACAATTATCATCTAAACAAATAACGAAAATTCTTTAGAAAAAAATAGCTGGGTCATCGTGAAGAATTTTATTATTTTATTTAATCTATACATTTGCTTTTTACGGTATCGAGTTACTAATCTAAGTCTAATAAGGTTATAAGTCCCTTCAAACTTATTCCTTCAAATCTTACCAAGCTCAAGATAAAACAGAGACGGTCGGTCCAAAGACAAAATCGAATTTCGAGTGAAAACATAAGCTGCGCAGTAAAATTAGCCATTTGTTGTCATGTTTATAAATAAATATTTTAGTCTGACACACTCCGCGAAGCTAAGGTCCATTATAAATCGTAAATACGAACGGAAAACGGCCAAATCACTGTTGCACTCTCTTCGCGGGTGTTAAGAGGATTTCATTTTGATTATTCGTCGATATATATGTAAATAATGTCCTACGCTCTCTGCTAAACATTGTTCGTTTTAAGCGCATCAAAACCTCTGAAATTGTACTATTTTATTGTTTCAAAAACTACTTATAGTAAAACAAACACTAAGTTAATGATAAACTATTACGTAATAAAAGTTAACATTGCAAGCAAGATTGCGCCAACTGTTTGCCAATGACCGTTTAACTTAGTCAAAATTATTCCTTTAATGTTTTTGATTCAAATGTTTTTTCCTAATAGTTTTCCAAAAACAATTCTAAAACAAAAGCGTTTGTTCCTAATAGCTTAAAACAGTTTTTTTTTTTTTGGAAATTGGTTTCACAGATAGTATTTGAAATTATGCAGACATATTGCTCTGAACGTATTGAATAATTTTATTAAATAATAATTCAATATTGAAAGTATTGAACGAATGATATAATGTGACTGTTTCTCGAGCTAGCAGGCATTTCTACTAATTTGTTTTATTTATGATACTTGATAATGTCTTAGTAAATCAATAGGGAATATGTCAATTATTGGAATTAAAGGAGACTTTTCAGAGGGATAACAATTTTGCTCTACTACTTGCTGAAAAAAATTCTGTTCACGGATTGGCGCATGCGGTCAGTGTCGTAAGAAAAATATGCAGTATACAGGAGACTGTATCATTTTTTGTGTTGTATAGTAACTTGTATTTAAATGTATATTGAATACAATATTGAAATAAAAGTTAAAATGTCTGTAATCCACATACATACATTTACATACATTTCAAATTTCATTCAAATACATTCAGATGGTATGCAAAGGAAATAGGCACAATCAGTACTTTCAAGCTTATAAAAGTTTTGTCGCTGTAACTAAGAAATTTTAAGAATTTTAAGGCAATAAATTTGTTTATCATCATCATCATGTCAATACATCTTGTAATACACCATTTTACTCGATGGTGTCTTAATAGTAAATATCTAATGTTTTTCGAATTTTAATGGTCGCATGACAGTACATGTGTAAAGATTTAAAAACACAAGGAATTTAAAACCAAACTAAAAGTGATAAAATCAATGATGTGATGAATAATTTTATTTGAAAAATGTTTTGCATTCTGATAGATATTAAAAAAAATAACTACATTTATATTTTCTGAATTTCTTGTATATTTGAATTTAATTAAAGTATACGAAAAATAGGTGGGCACGATGGCTGGATTAGAATATTCTTTAAGATTGAACTTGATTTGTGACAAAACAGCACTAAGCAAAATAAATTATCCTTATTAACAGCGTAAATGAAGACCCTCGTTTTTATTTATAATAATTCTCACAATACATATTACACATACTGCTTACCATTAACTGCACTTTATTTAAAATTCTTTTCACTGCAAAGGTACAGCACAGTGATTATAAGATAAATTTTTCCTCACAGTAAATTCCATTAACAGACAACGAATGACGAGAACAAACTTGACGGACCTATATATGTAACAACTGTTAAAAACTTTTAGCGGCGCGACATTATTGTTTCTCACAGCACACAAACCTACATAGCGTCACGAGAGTGTAATGACAGCGTGTACAGGATGCGAACATCAATTTGATTGCCCGCCGCCGTGGGTTCAATCCTAGTTGTTTTGTTGAATAAACCACTCGGCACGGCACTGTGGCGAAGTTTAGGAAAGATACAACGACTTTGAATACTAGCACTGCACATTTAGAAAAATATGCACTATGTATCACGAAGAAATTGATCAAGTGTTGTTCTTTCTAGGCTTAATAACAAGAAAATAGTTAAAATTAGAGGGAGGCCTATGTTCAACAGTGCATGTCTTGTGGCTGATGATGAGTTAAAATTAAAAGTAAGCGTAAAATTGAATAAGTAATTTCGTCCGCAATTTTAGTTTAGTTAAAACTTAAACTGATAAAGATGATGTTATTACATTTTACATGATATTATTTGATTTTCGATTTTTACCAATGTATTAATATATTAAATCACAATTATAGGTAACAAAATTATTTTATTAGGTTTAAAACTTGGTAATCTCATAAAGATTTAAAAAATATTAGTTATAGAGATAAATAATAAAGTTATGATTTTGTGTAACATTTGCAAAGTTCTTTTAATTATATAAATGGTCTAGCATCAGAGGTTATTCTAAGCGCGTACGATTTAAATGTCGAATACCGAGAGATAACAATCGAGAAAAAAGTGCTGGCATACCAGAGGACATCGTCGTCTGACGTCACTAATTTAAAATTTAAAAGCAAAAGACAAAGCCGATATCGCGATTAAGGCGCATTACAATGATAAGGAGACGAAAGAATCTCCCGATATAGAGTTACCGTCCCATCCCATTCAGGCACTCGAATTGAGTTGAATAGGGCCGCAGATGTGGCGTTTTTTACAACAATCTTTCCCACACTACTACTTTTTCTGATGCCTACGTACCTCGATCGGAACGGTGCCGTTGAGAGGAATTATCGCGACACAAATATCATCCTTCACGCGACATAATAAGGTGCTAGTGTTGCACGCACAAATGATAGTAGACGCAAAACAACGTTGGCCGGTACAGTTTTCTGATGGTTTTTTGCCGCACACGTCTTTCTCCTATCGGATGCGACATAGGAAATTGGGCATTTTTTCATCGCGCGCGTTTAAAATGGAATTGTCTGAAGGAAGTCGCACATGTACTGTGTGATTGTTTGATTTAGTATTCTTTCCTTTTTCAAATTAGACTGTACTAGGCGAATGCTCTACGACAGCGGTATTATGAATTATAGGAATGACGTTTCGAATGAATTACTTTTTAAAATCGATATCGGAATTTGTTTGAACGTGCACTTTATAATATGCTTTATAAAGGATAAATGTTAATATAATATTAAATTTACGTTTGTGCGCGTTTAACGCTTGCTCTACAGGCTTATAGAATTTAGACCTGACTATAAAGTTTTGATTAAGAATATGTTTAATTTCATAAATCTTTTGTCGTTGAGAGATGAACTTAACATTACCTATTATGTCTTCGAGTGATTTTGGAAAGTTCTGTATCAAATTAACATTTGCTAGTCGTACTGGACACCGTAGAGTTAAAAAAACTTTCTCTACCAATTCTAACTTTTTTTGCACAAGTATTATATGTTTTAATTAGTTATCGTATTCATGGTTCGTTCGTCTACTTACAATACCCTTCATGGGATTATTAGGGAGTTGTTAGGGGCAGCAGGTAGCGCGAGTATATACCGTTGTATTACTATGGTAATATTATTCGGATACATGTTCTGCTATGTTAGATAGCGACATCGGAATGTTTAAAAGATCGATGAACAGCAGAGCATTCACCGGCGCGTCTATCGCCCTATACAGAACGCTCCCCACAATTGCGGGCCGGCCGAAACTTTTCCATCTCGTAGCCCTGTTTGTACTGCCTAGACGACAGAGAAAGTGCTCCGTTATGAAAACTGGGGGATTCTTTTCAGTTTGTTCAGGAGCAATAAGATGGGGATTACTGAGAGAAGTATGAATCGACTTAAGATATTACAGAAGTGGCATAGACTCCGACGATCAAGGACCATTCGCGTATAGCTTTGATGCTTTATTAAGTGATCGTTCGATACTTGGTATACTTGTATTCGGGGAATGTAAAAGATAATGTACTTTATGACGATGTTTTGGATCTGTATTATGTAATTTGTTCACCTTTTTGTCACTTAGAGTAAAAGAAATTAAAAGGACTATGGCACTTCTTGCGCCATTTAGTAAAGAGTGAATATTTATTTTGGTTTGGCGAAATAAATTATTACATTTTGTTGGTCAGCAACTATATTAAAATAGTATCAATGCTCATTTAGAAGAAGAGATTAGAATGGCCCTATATATATCATAACCCTTATTTGTTATTTTAAACATTGCGATAATTATATACAAAAATCATATTCTACATGAAACTTTTTTGTTAATTGACATGAATTAAACAAAATGCACTACTTATTACGACACTATGTGTTGATTTGATGTTAAATTTTAGTTCAGTTTAATTTAGAATTTTATGTTTATCTTGATCATTCCCTTGCTTATCATTCCCTTGATCATTCGCTTAAGCGCATTGACGCTACTCCACATTACTTTTAACATATAATGGAATACCATATACCGGTGACGGGGCCATGGGAAACGAGAAATCACATCTAAACGCGCCATAGGAAACAATTTAAAGAGGATGCGAGCGCGTTGCACAATCCGCTGCGACGGTCTGGCTTAGCGGCAGTTAGCCGGGGCGAAATTGGCCAATTTGTTTATTTGTTTTCATTGGCCTCACTGAACTTGACTCCCCATTATCGCATTCGCCGGAGGAAGGCGCGTTATTCGTCTGATCGTGGGATCGGGTTGCTCTGCATGAGGCGTATAGGTCCTCGCGCGGGCCACACGCTGTCATACCTCGATGCTTCTAACTGAGAGTCTGTAAACACCCATTAGACGGTGGTATCTGCTTCTAGCATTGATCACGCGCAGTTTTTAACAGACAAATTTCAGCTCGAACTATGCGCTAAATGTTGAAAATTGACTATTACATATGATATATTTTTGGTCTGTTTGCAGTGACAAAATAAAGAATAAATGAACTCTCACAATATTTTGTGAGTAACGACTTTAACAACGATTGTTACTGTTGATATTTCGTTCAAATAAAAACATACGTTAAAGTTTTTTACAGACAAATATTACAAACTTTTGAATACGTTTATTTGTAAATCGCAGCGAAACGACGCGCAAATTCAATGGGAATGTCAGAGTAAGAAATAATATTTTGAAAATATCTCTACCTCAATTTGTTACGCACACATTATTGCTTTTTAATAAGAACAGGATTACAGACCATGCCTATAGATGTTTCTACTCAAAATGTTCTAATTGATTACTGAATCTAAAACACACAAATGATCAATACAAATCGAAGATTGCAAAACAGAAACTTAAGCATAGCACACACCAAACTACACTCAAACACTGCAAATTTAATCATTAAAGGAGCAGCAACGTCGTTGAATACTACGTTATTGTTACTCCTTAATACGCCTTTAATGAACTAAATCGCCATAAATACTATCGGTGCTTTCAAACCGCGTCCAACCTTTAATGGAGCGGTCACGGCTGCCTCTGCGCGTCAATTCACGACATCGGAGGAACGCGAGGTATTCGAACGCCCGACCCGACGTCTCCAGACGCGGGCGCTAACGTATACGTATCTATAAGGCGGCGTCCACACGGGCGCGATCCCGTCGTGCGCCATTAAAAAGCGCCCGCTCCGAGTATTCCGCCGTGCACAATTAAGGGACCAAATTGCGTGACATCATGCGCAGTAACGTTAGCGACGGGCTGATGCGTCACCGCGAAACGCTCCATTCACACCGGCCCTTACACCCAAGCGTACAGACCGTCAAACTTTACCGCACCGACACGAGCACTACGAACAATGCGCTCACTAGTGAAGCTACTTGAGCTTCCGTACATATGAATTATACAAGAAAATCAAACGCATTCCTTTCAGTGAAACGTTTAAATGCCAACATGCCCTACAAGTTCAGCAAAAAGCTCTGTGCATAACATACATTTTCATAAGATAAGTTAACACTATTCCAGGTTCAGCTCACGAGGAGCGCAAGCTATGCACGCCGCTACGACAAAAAGCTCCACAAAAACGGGGAATCGATTCGCGAAAGCTCCACCGCGAAAGCTGCGACGGAAGCACGCGAGCGCGCACCGGACCTCGCTCCACGCTCTACCGCCGCCGCGTACCGCGAACGAAACCACAAAAACAACCAGCCAGAATACTACCACAACAACGCGAACTACACTTGGCACAACTCGAAAAGCTCGCACAAAACTTTGCGCGGCGACGCGGCTTATACCTTCTCCGGTCGCTTGATCCATCCGCGCCTCCTTTTTGTCCCCGTCCCGCTGCCTCGGAAACGTAAGAAGGACGCGCGCGGAAAAATAAACAAAAAGGGGGATCAGAAGTTCGCGAACGCGTCGGTGCGTGCCGTTGGTGCGGACGACACGCGTGCAGTCGCAACGGCGGTCGGCGGCAGACTGGCGCGCCGCGCTGTAGAGATGGAGCAACCGTTGCGAGGTAGAGCCGCGACCGCACCGCGCTATTTTTTCACGTTTCGCGCGCCGTACATATTACATTTGAATTCTAACTCCGAAATATTATTTTAAATATAATTCTTTTCAGAATTTGATCATAAAGAGAAGTTATTAATAACAAAACCATATAAAGTATTGATTGAAAATTCGAAAAATAATTTTAAGTCTATTAAATCGTGTGTTTAATACGTTGAATTGCATTTATTGACGCAGTAATTCTGTTCGCAAAACAAAGTTGGCTAAGTAGTTTCGTTCCAACGTTATAGCAGTGTTATAACGGCTGTTATACGTTGCGGCGACAGCACTAGGGGGCGCAGCGCACAGCTGCCGCTGCGTCCAATGGCGGGCGGTCACGTGACGCCCCGCGCCCGCACACGCTTGTTTACAAATAATAATAGTAGGGACGGTGGCGCCGCCTCTACAGCGCGGCGGCTACGCGCTACGCGCTACGCACAGCTGTCGATGCATTTGGCGGGATTCGGAGCGCTCGCTCGCGCTTCGATCTGTTTACTTCGCAGCTTATTTAGTTCGATCGATGCCTTGCCCGCTATTTGGGCACGCATTGGCATCACCACAACACTGGCGATGATTTGTTTTAACAGCAAGGCTCAAGATAACGCGTAAAACTTTGAAAAAATTGACGTGGTAACCTCCTAATAATATTTTGTTGTGCAGTCTTCAACATAGTTGCAACCTTTAAGATGTTTTGTAAAACTAAAATAGCTTAATTAACATTAAACACAGCGATCGCCAAGTGCGAATCTATGATTAGTTCATATCCGCCGTGAATTATATCATAGAAAGATTTTGTAACAAAATGCATTTTTGTCATTAGTTTTATCAACATTCAGCTTTTCAAAGAAATTTTATAGAATATTTCGTGGAATATTCGGGAATAAGTATGTTTTTGGCTATTCTTTTTTGTACAATGTAACTTAAGGAATAGGGCGAAATACGTAAGTCTACTTAAGGATGGTATCTCTGGATGAAGAAGTAAATATCGAAATGAATGGTACACAATAAGAAAGTTTATTATAATATTCAGACCTTGAATTTTGTGTGAATATAAAGGCAATTTACTTGATGCAAATTCCCATAATATGATATGATACAGTCAGTGCATTCAACGAAGCTTGCATGCAATTGCCTAAGGTCATATTAGGCAATTGCATGGCTATTTAGACACATTTGCCAGGAGGGTGTCCCCATGTAGCGACAGGTTGGTATTCCCGATTATTGCGGGACCAGGCTGTAAGGTGCAGAGAGGGTCTCAACCCCAGTTCGTGCGTTCAACTATTAAAGCCTGGTCAGACCCCAATTAAACTGCTGCGCTTTCAACCTCGGCTGTATGCATCTATTTGACATTAATTACATATGAGCCATAAGGCAATCGAATTGATGGATTTCGTAACAGGTTGTGAAAATGGTCAATGACTGGGCAAAGACGGTTTTCGCAGTGAAAGGCACGTTCCATCTTTGAGAAGTTGCTAATGTTTTATTAAAACTTCGATTTTGACACAATGTTTTATTTTACATGTGACCGATAAATTTAGGTTTAAATACCTAAGGTAAATTATAAATCCTGGTGATTTAATCAACATGGTATTCTTATTTAATATAAGTGTCTTTGTGGATATTCCTTCTCCGTAGGCTTTAAAGCTATGAAATCTTTTGAATTTGATAAATGATTTAGATGGAAGCACATTCAGCGGATTGTTAATAATCAGATAAATGAGAATATTTTGTCTTATCACTTTCAAATGTAAATTACTAGCATTCCTTGCATGCTAAAATCACAGGACCTATTACAGACAGATTTAACGCTTGTCATATTTTCGGTTTTGAAGCCGACGAGAAGTGTTCATTAGCTGTTTCTACGTATCCCATTTGGGTTTAAAGATGTGACCGCTGTAACTTTAGCATTGCAAATAATTTGTAATGGTTTAATAAAATGGTATAATAAATACAATTTTATGAAATTGACAAAAACTAGAAAACTAAACACTAAACATAATTCTTTATCCTTCCTGAATATAAGGCCAATACTCACAACTATTTTACACGCTATCTACTATCCTAATACGATAGTGTAACTATCGCATTATTTTCTATATTTCATTTTTAAATTAAGTACATAACAAATAATATACAATGACTAATACTCCGTGAACTCAGTCAGGGGACAATAAAACAAGTCCATTTCTCCGACTATCAAGTTTAGAATACAGAAAGAAAGTATCAGGGATGCCTGGCGCAATAAGTTAGTCCTATTAATATTAGTTATAACTGAGTACTGTCATGTACCTTTGAATATGTGCATAATTCTGTAAAAGTTTTGTCTATTATTGATTGCATGTTACACAAAATATGTAAAAACAATTGCGGAAGATATGAAATAAAATAAAAATGAAGATTTCGCTGACGATTCGGATCCTAAAACGGAATAGAAGATCAAACGTGAAGGTTTGGCGAGAATAGCTATGTAAGCCTATTCTTTGTATGTTTTTTGTGATTAATAAATAAATTAAAATAAAAAAATTTGCAATACCAATCATCAGAACCGGGTTCATAACTGGATCCGCTTATCTCCATCTATTGGCATCTAGTGGCATTCCAAGCGATTCACGATTCACGTTTTCGAGTTTTAGATTCGCTGAAAAACGTTACACGTTCATGACGAAATAAATCCAGCAGTTGTTCAATACACTGTAACGACACCCACGGGATATGAGGGATTGATGGGAACCGTGACATTGCGGCAGAATGGCCACAGATTATATTATTATATTTATAAATAACAAGAATACAGATATCGTCTAGTCATCTATGCGAATGTAGCGATATGCTTCGAAGCTTAGTCTCGTCTAAAAGTCTACTAACTAAAATCTGCGAAATACTTGTATTTGCAAAATTAATTAAAATTTCCCGTACATCGAAGAAATCATAAAGCCCATTCAATAAATAAATCTTTAACCTCGTTATGAATGAGGATTAGAATAAAATGAAATCGCCTCAAAAGCGCCAATTCAATTGTTTGGGTAACATAAACTATATTAAAAAACCTATACAACGACTGCAGACGTCAACACTTACACTAAAAATTTCTGTTTTACCATTAATTTAACCCAAAAAAAAACCGTTAATAAATGCCAAGAAATAAAATACTTATCTCTTGTTTTAATAGGGCAGATTAATATATATTAATTTCTATTAATATGTCCTTAAGATTCTTCATTTAATCTTTTTTTCTATGTACACTGACATATTGTAAATAAGACAACTTTCTATCATTTTAACATAATCAAGCTAATCCACCAGTAGTGTACTGACAAATTATTTAACTTACTTGTGCAAAAGTATTTAAAGTGGCGAAGTTATTTCGTCTTGGGTTCTAACCAGTGGGTTCGTAACATATTCGGTAACGTCGGTCCCATTAAATCGATTGGGTTGCACCCTTGTCTATCGTGAGTCATCGAAATTTCACGAAATAGCAACGTTAATAATATAATAGCTTACATTCCCCGAAACTTTCCATCGTCTGCTTCCAATGTTACAAATATATGTTTCATTAATAGGAAACAAGGAAATCAATTATGGAAAGGAATTATGAACTGGCTTCATTTCTTTACCATCTTCACAAAGCATGATAATATCTTGGCTATATCTAGATGGCATGTATTCTACTCAAAGTTTCTTCTGGCATCAAACTTATAAATAACAAGACTGTTACATGTTCCAGCAAACAATATCAATCATCGATAAGATTTTAAAAAAAAACGTATCGTTGTTTGCGTTTTTATTTCATTATAAAAACGCAACTGAACTATTCACTTTTTGTTCTGTATCATACTTCTGTATTCTTCTAAAGATCAACGCTCAACGTGTCCCACTCAAAAACGGAACGGTTTGAAGTGCGAACGCGAAGCGGGGATAGATCAAAAATTAAAAAAAAAGCAAAAAAAAATAACACGCAGAAAACAGAGGTTGCAACGCGTGCAAGGCGCTCTTGCATCGCGCCAATTTCATTGCTACAAAAGTGCGTAATATCGATTACTGGCTCCCTCGTCCCGTCTTCCGTCTCTTTCTCGACGCACGCTCAACGCGGCGGGGGAAAAACGCCGCAAGTCAGACGCCGTGTTGTAGGGAAGTTTATTCGAGGCGCGGAAGTACCGCTACTCGGCGAGCGATGCGACATAAGACCTTCTGGTAGCGCGCGCGTGGTCCCCCGCCGTCGTCGCCATGGCAACCGATCTGTCACACGCACAGAACATAAAGCGCGGGCATTGATTTTTTCCCGGTTTCCTCTTTTACTTTTACGCGCGTCGGGCGACTTTTTGCCGGGACTTTTATTTTTTAAAGTGCGATATTCGGCGCTCGCCGCGGTTGCTTTTAGACTTATTGTGATATCGGCACTTTTATACGGGTGCTGGTTTGAATCATGACTGCTATTACTCTCCTAGCATCTTAAGCGCTCGGTTTTTAGCACGTCTCATTGTGAAAAATGATTATCCTATTTGAATAGTCAGTTTCATTAAATGATTATCTACTGGAGATAAGAAAATACATAAATATACTTTCAAATCATAGTCAAACGAAGTTGAATCCTAACCATATGTTGAACATTTAAATAATGTTCATAACACATTTTGCTCAGATTAGATTGGATTATATCTTGTGTTGATAAATACAAGCTGCAAGTTTACAGCTTAAGGGTGAGTTTGTTAAGGTAGGCTCTGTAGCCCCCAGGGTGCGGGCCCAAGGGTTGAGGTCTCAATCCCTCGCAGATGTGGCGATTTCCACCCTCCCGTCCCTCGTTAACCCAATAGTAGGAAAATATGCTGTCTTAAGGGACCACGGGAAAAATTGCTTCGGTAAATATCTTATGAACATTCACGCAAATATATCCCCCACAACGACCACAGTTTTTTATTTATTTAAATCTGATACTATTATGTAAATGCTCAAATCGAAACGTACTTTGAAAACCTATAGGCGGCTTTATTTCTAGTCATTGATCTTTCTCATTCACATAATGCTTCGTGTAAAAATCATCTTTTACTTAACAACTAATACAAAATTATTAGGTAATTAATTCTAAATGTATATGACAGAAAACTTTGACGCTTAATAAATGAACAACGCTTAATAAAGAATGAATCACATCTCTTCGTCAACGTCCAACTTTTCCTATTTACGATGAGTCAAGATTTAACTAAGATAGTGGGCTAAACACATGAAACACTGCTTCAAATGCATCTGTTTTATTATTATTTACTTAAGTTCTTTTGTGAAAAATTAGTTCAAATTAAATTTCACTCCATTCTCGCTACATATAACAAGATAAAAAAATACCATGTACTAACACCATTTTGAAGCAGGTAATTATGTTAAATGAAAGGATGAATTTAATTATACTGTACGTACATTCATATTATATTATTCACGTTAATGATCTTATTTGTTCAAGTACAATTGTATAATTGTAGTCAAAAAAATGTAGAGAGAAATTAACGCGAACTTTCACGGCTAATCTGTCACGGAAAATCATCTTCAAAAATGTGTTAAAGCATTAATCAAAAACAATGAATCTATAGTATAATTTTATTGAACAAAATTACGTA